TGTTTCTAACTCTCTATCCCTCTCCCTTCCTCTCTGTAAAAAATCAATAAAATATATATTTTTTAAAAATGTACTCAGAGAGACTTAGGGTTATGGCATAGAGTGGTAGCTATGGCCAGGTAATAGAAATTCAGGAAAGGTTAGTTTCATATTGTTTTGCACTTGCTATTTTTTGCTTATTGTATTTTTCACATTTAGAGGAACAGCATATAAATGGATGGCTTGGGTTTTCTATTTAATCACATCTAGATATGTTGGGTTCAGATTCAATATACTTATATTGACAAAACATCATCTATAATCATCATTATCTGAATTGAAAAAAACTGCCATGTGATCCAGCCATCCCATTTCTGGGAAAATAGCCTATGAATCCCAAAACACTAATTCGAATGAATACATGCATCCCTATGTTCATTGCAACTTTATTTACAATAGCTAATGTCTAGAAACAGCCCAAGTTCCCATTAGTAGATGCGTGGATGTAAAAGCACTGGTACATTTATACAACGTAATACTATGCGGCCATAAAAAAGAAGGAAATCTTAATTTGGTGACAGCTTGGATCAACCTGGATATTATTATGCTAAATGAAATAATCCAGTCAGAGAAAGACAAATACCCTATGATCTCAGTTATATGTGGAATCTAATGAACAAAATAAACACAAACCAGAGGCAAGAATACATGAACAGACTGACAGCTGTAGTCAGAGGGGAGATGGGTGGGAGGACTGGATGAAAGAAGGTGAAGGGATTAGCCAAAGAACATATATGCATAACTCATAGACACAGACAACAGTGTGGTGATAGCCATAGGAAAAGGGAGGTGGGCTAGGTGGAGGTGGGCAACGGTGGAGTAAGTGGGGATGGAAAGAGACTTTGCTAGGAGTGATGCGTGCGCAATGCAGTGTGCAGATGATGTATTTTTGAGTTGTACACTTGAAACTTATATGCTTTTATTAATCGATGTCACCCCAATAAATTCAATGAAAATATTTACTCTTTTACATCCTTAGACCTAACCTTCTCTAATGTTATGCTTGCAGAAGTACATTTTTCAATTTCACATATCTTGATCAAATGTATAGATTAATCAAACAATAAACTTAGTTTCTAGTAATTAGAAAAGCAGAGAGAGGGCTTCCTGTCCAGCAGGACTGTCAAATTTTACTTGAATTTGCCCTCTTTCTCCTTCCCTGTCCTCATAACGGCTTATTTAATGTCAAAACACAACTTTATTCATATTTACATTGAAATTAGGTTACATCTTTAGAATCAATGGATATGGATTGAATTATTTACTATATATTATATTTTCTTACTCCAAAACCTGTAATGAAATCCATAGTATATCTTCCAGTCGACAGCATTTTAGAATCAAGGAAATATGATTTTTTCTTCTCTTCTGTTTTTGCCTCCACCTTTCTTCTGGTAACCACTTCTAGCATTCCCAAGGAGTTACATTTCTGGAAAACAAATCTGATCTTGTCAATAACTTACCTAATAATTTTGAGTGCCCCAAAGTAAGTTTGAATGATCTCAAAGTTTAGACTCTTGGCATGGCATTCAAGGCCCTTGCTTTCTACAATCTCTCATATTCTGGTCTGAAGAACTGGATCTGCAGCCTCATTTCCCACCACCTGCCTCTTCCTCCTGTGAATTGCTTCATTCCTGACAATCAGATGCATGATGCATGATTTTAATGCAAGTGTTGCAAAGTCTCTGAGAAAAGTTTAATAAAATAGGATTGGTGTTGAGCTAAAAATAGTGAAAGCAGACTTTTTCTAAAGCTTAATACTTTAAGATGGAAATGTATCATTGTCCTTGCAGGAAAGGCTTGACTTTTAATATTAAATTATTGAAGAAGCTTATGGAATATCCTTATTTGGAGCCTTTTAAAAGCAGACTAGCTGCTCTTCTGTTTGGGATGATTTAGGTACAGCCACGAGAGATAAACAAGATGAACTTTGAGATTGTGGCCAGTTCTAAGAGTTTTGGGGTGATTAATGACTCTCTAAATGAGGCCAAGACATCCAGATGGGAGTGAAGAGCAAAGTTCAGTTAGTCATCTACATGATCTTTCTCTGTGGTTCCAAAAACCTGGATAGTTAACAGTTGAATGTATATACTTATTTAAATCAAACTATATTTCACTGGTATTTTCCGCTTTGAATGTTCACATGTTGCCATAGTAGAAAAAATCCCATAGGATAAGCACCTACATTTTATTCCCATCTACCATCAAATAACATATATCAAATTGTAATTATTAGGAGGATGAACATGTGAGTTAAATTGAAAATGTTCTGAAATTATTTTTGTTTGGTCTGAGCATAAAACAATACTGAAGGATGTAAAGTTCAATTTCACTCACTATTCTTTTGTTTGGTCTGAGCATAAAACAATACTGAAGGATGAAAAATAAAATTTCATGATGATTTTTTGGGGGGCTATTGCTTTATTTTTATAAAATGGAAAATAGGAAGCGGCTTATCCACCATACTCATATTTATATGGTTCTGTATTTTAAATCTAGGTATGTGTCTTGTGCCCTGGGCTGTCCATATGAAGGAAGCATCACACCGCAAAAAGTGACAGAAGTAAGATATGCCTTTGGTTTTCTGATTCATGGTAAAATGATGTATGCTATTTTTAAAAGGAGTCTATTTCCCTCACTATTTAGTGCATCTGCACAACAGAGACTAAAGGGAACCATGGAGTGGGAGTCATGTGATTGCTTAACTAATAGTTTCATTTTAACACTGAGGACCTATATATTGCCTATAACTGTTCAGAGTTAAGTAACATTTGAGTTTCATCTTTAGGGTGGTCCAAGGTGGAGGGAATAAAAGTGTCTGCTTTGCTTCTCGGTGGGCAGACCGCAGTGAGTGCCCTTCCTACCAGTATGTCCGGGCAGTTTGTGCACACTTCAACTTTGCCTTGGTTGCTCCAGTAGCATTCTTTTGTTCTCTTGCATACTTTTGGCACATGTATGGAGTATACGCAGGACTTTGTTCCTTTGGGATCCTATAGCTCTTACTGCTGAGATTCAAGATGCTATTCCAGAACGATTTACAGGAATAGATTAGTCAGTTAGGACTTCTTATGAAAGTTCAATTTCACTCACTATTCCTGTTTCTTAATAGATAGCAATGGATGCAAAATGCTCAGTCTTTGAGATTATATTAGACTATCTCAGAGACTCGTTTATATATGAAATACATTAATGTGCACCTGTGAATGTTCATAAATTTGTTAATGTGGTACTAAAGCAGTGAAGATGGTACAGTTAGAAATCAAAATTTAGGCTGGGAAAACTTTCAGTTTGGCTAAAGCCAGTCCTATTTTTGTGTATTTGAACTTTTGAAATGCAGTGCAGATTTTTCAAATGAGGGATAGCTCAGGGTCCATTATTTAAGCAAGACCTTTGCACACAGAGGCAAATATACCATAAGATAACGAAGCATACATGTTGTAGTCCTTCACCCTCATGGGATCCTTCCAAGACTGTTAATAATGTGAATTCACAATTATGTATTTTGTCTTAAAGAACACGTTGTAGTCCTTCACCCTCATGGGATCCTTCCAAGACTCTGTTAATAATGTGAATTCACAGTTATGTATTTTTGTCTTAAAGAGCAGTTCCAAAATAGTGTAATTTCAGACTCCACAAAATCTAACCCAACTCTGCCTATACACCAGACCCTTTGCTCTTCTGCCTCTGCCGTCTCTGGATGGACCACACCTACCCTCGGGTTCTCCATTCCTGCACCAGAATGCCTGAGCAGTTGCTGAAAAGAATTATGTGACAGGCAGATTAGAAACATTACAAATTCATCGCCAGCAGCCTTTAATAGCCTTCTGTGTTATTCTAATATATTCTGTAGCCAACTCACTCTCTTACTTTCTGAAGTGACTTATGCAACCTGTTTTCACTCTCTTGTCCTTTAAGTCTCTAGTTCTTCCCCTCACTTAGTCCCTGTTTAGATTCTTTCCCGTTTGCACTTGAACATGTTCAAGCCTCTTCCATCTGAAAACGTTCTCCCTTAATTCGGCATCCTCACCTAGTTATCGACTCCATCCTTCCACATCTAAGTTTCTTCAAAACACTGTCTATAGTAGTGGTGTCCATTTCCTCTTATGCCACTCTACGTTCTCCCTTAATTCGGCATCCTCACCTAGTTATCAACTCTCTCCATCCTTCCACATCTAAGTTTCTTCAAAAGACTGTCTACAGTAGTGGTGTCCATTTCCTCTTACGCCACTCTTCATTATACCCGAGTTGACTTCTAAACCATCCATCACTCCACTGAAATCCCTCTTTATAAGATCACTACTTAACACTTGGACCAAGAAATGCAAAACTCGGTTTAGTCCTTCTCTTAGCAGTAGAATTTGGGACTAGTGGCCATTTCCTCCTTCCTGCACCCCTTATATCCCTTTTGTTCCCTTGACACCACACTTTATGAATTTCCTCCAACTGGTGAGATTTCTCCTTTGAAGCTTCATTCTCCTTTCCCTGGCCATTAAGAAATTCTAGCATTTAACAGGCAGTAGAGGAGAATCAGCATTATGCTTTTTTTAAATCTAAGTTTTCATCCAATAATAGTCTTCTGAGTACCCTCCATCCTGTTTTTGATATTGCCTTTCTGAAAATCAAATCTGATTATATCACTACTAACCCAAATTCTGCCATGGCTTTCTAGTGCTCTTATGATAGAATCCTCAATCAAAATTCTAAACTTGGTGGATTTGCAAGGCCCTGTAGGATCTGCCTCATGCCTACCTCTCCAGCTTTGAGTAGCTTCATTCCCTTTTGGTTGTTGCTTTCTCCTCACCCTGTCCTTTGCATTTCACTTTTCTCTTTCCTGGAATGTATTTTATATGTCAGCTTCCCACAACACACTTGCTTCTGCGTTTGATATTCGACCTGGAGCCTTCTTTTCATACTCTTCCTTCTCAACCTTGTCAACAAGTTAATGCTTACTTTATCTTAAGCTGCCACCTGGGTCCTTGCTGCTTGACAGATCTAGGTTAATTTCTCTTGCCACATGCTCTTAGAATCCTGTTTCTCTGTTTAAAAATTCTCATTTTAGCTGTAATTACACATTTCCAAATGGAATTGATTAAGGTCTGTCCTCACTTGCCTCCAGGCTCTATAACAGCATGAGCCATCTCCATATTTGTCTCCCTATTATATCCTAGCACCTAGCACAGTGCCTAGCAAGCAATGGCACTGAAGAAGTACGTAATAAATGAGTGACCATGTGCCAGATTGTGTACAAAGTTATTTATATATTTTCCCATTTCATTTTCACAGCCAAATATGTCATTATTGACACCATCTTTGTTATTGTAACTCTTAAGAATTAAAAAAAAAGGATTAGAAAATATGTGAAGTAAGGGTGTTAGAGACTGAAGTTTATAAAGTTTAATTTTCTGCCCAGATCACCTGACTAACATGGATGACAGCTGAGATTTAGATCCAGGCCCGTCTTGTTCCAGAACCCATGCCTCTGTTAACATTCCATGCTGCCTTCATGTCAGTTCTTATTGTCCCGCAAAGTAAAGTTACTCATTCAGTTTGAAGGGACCTTGCGGTAGATCTCTTTATAATATCACCTCTTAGCACTTGAGTCAAGAAATGAAAGGTCATATTATATGTGTGTCCATTTATGAGACAGAAAAATTAAGCCAGAAATATTTTGATCCTCTACCAATTATAAAGCTACTGAGTGACAGAGCTGAAAATGGTATTGATATTTCTTGACACCTCATCTAACTCCTTAAGAAATGCTACTTCCAAAGTAAATTTGTAATGCTTCCCCTTTTTTTTTTTTTTTTTGCTTCCCTTTGATTAAAGAAAGAGTTGAGACAAGTAAGCCTGCCATAGTTGAAATTGTAGTTTATAATTCCTAATGGAACATGTGAATAGATAGTTATGACTCTAAGACAAACTTGAATATTAAAATATTAAACTTGAATATTAATCTTGAATATTAAAATATAGATAATTACACTAATGCTATTCAGAGCTTTATATAATGCTTAGGATTTAATGAACAAGGAAATGAATCAGAAAATTAAAACGTTTCCCATGGATACATCACAATCTTAGTTGTGGTGTTTACCTCCAGATGATGTTTGCTGAGGAACAACAGGTTTGGGTCTGTTCGTTTCCATTGTTTTACAAGCTCTTCAATTGTGCCCGTAGGTATCTAAGAGATTGTATGGCATGGGCTGCTATGAGATCTCTCTGGGAGACACAATTGGAGTGGGAACTCCAGGAAGCATGAGGAGAATGTTGGAAAGTGTCATAAAGGAAATCCCACCCACTGCACTTGCCGTTCACTGTCATGACACATACGGACAAGCCTTAGCCAATATCCTCACGGCCCTTCAGGTATTTTGTGTTATTTGTGTGTATGTAAGGTGTGTATCCTTACTTGTAATATAAACATGCTAAAAGCTTCAATAAGATAACATTCTTAAATGGCTGTGGATTTATATTTAAACAGGACATGACAAGCACTCAACAGGTATGTCAATTGCACATATTTTTTGTGTGTTTTTTTTAGAGCAATGATATCTCTTATTACTATTCATTTGATTTGATAGAATTCCTGAATTTGTTCTTCTGAAAGTATTAATCCTCTTAAAACTGCTTCTGCTTTTTTCAACTTCCATGCGCTTCCAGACATAAAGTTTAATGGGTTGAAATAGGATAGCGTTTTGAGGAGTGCAAAGCACAAAGATAGTAGAGTGTACTGTTGTAATCATGTAACTAATGTTCTTTTTGATAATTTGGTGCTCGATGATGAGAAGATGTGGTGCTGAAATGTAGAATATTTTGTTTAAGGTGTTTTCCTGATGTTGGCAAGCATACTTTAGAAAGAACCTCTGGTTTTTGTCAAGTATATTCTGTTATCAGTGGTTCTCAACCTATGGATCGCGACCCTTTTGCGGGTCGAACAACCCTTTCACAGGGGTCGCCTAAGACCATCAGAAAACACATATATAATTACATATTGTTTTTCTGATTAATCACTATGCTTTAATGATGTTCAATTTGTAACAATGAAATTGGGGGTCACCACAACATGAGGAACTGTATTAAAGGGTCGCGGCATTAGGAAGGTTGAGAACCACTGTGTTAGATGATTAAAATGAAGAGATCTAGAAAGTTGGAGGATTAAAAAAGTGTTTATTAAATTCTAATAAAACCTCAGTTATTTTGAATACATTTACGAGAATAGATATAAATAGCATTTTAAGGGTATTGTTTCAAAACTGTTAGTTTCTTAAACTCGGATAAAAATAGATTCATTTGAAGTTCTTAGAACACAAGATTTTGACAACTAAAGATAAGACTCTATGAAAGTTCTTTGTCGGAGCAGAAAATCAGTAAGTAAAGCTTAATGTCACAGTCCTAAAGGCTACAGTCACTTGGCAGAAGTTAAAAAACCATGTGAAGATCAAGCCGCACAAGGGCTTATTTTGACTTTGTAGCATATGTGCACAAATCCTTATTTATCCGCTGGAAGCAGGCAAGGAACATTGTATTAAATTAGGAGAGAAAATCATAATCCCATGGAATTTGGGGCGTGGGAATTTTTACAGTTTTCCTTCTCTAGATATTTTAGTTTCTAAAACAATAGAGAACTAGGCATCACTTCAGGATTTTGTGATCAGCTGCGACTGTAACTTATTAAGTGTTCCTGACCAGCAAGTTCTTCAGAGGTGTGTCTCAGCCTATCTCTGTCCGCCCGCCTCTCTCTCTCTCTCTCTCTCTCTCTCATTTCTCTGTATGAATATATCCTCTATGTGGCAACACACTGGGTATTATTTTATTCTTGCATTATTACATAATAAATGATAGTTTAGTTCTTTGGGACACAGGCAGGGCTACAGTGCAAAAACCTGGGAACCCAAACTTCTGCTTCTGGGCAGTCTGCCTCTTGAAAATGACCAAGTGCAAAGTATTGCCGATGCCAGCTTGTGACTTTAAGAGCTCGGGAAGGCCCATCTGAGGGAGTAACGTTTAAAATCAGATCTAAAGAATGAGAAGGAACTAACCCCCAGAAGGGGTGTGTGTGTGTGTGTGTGTGTGTGTGTGTGTGTGTGTGCATGTGCATGCACACATGTGCTCCAGTCTATGAAAAGAATGCTTCAAGCAGATGAAACACCGTTTGGGTAAAAGGACTTGGGAGAAGGGAGAACCTTGTCCTAGGAATGGAAAGAAGACAAATATTCATAGGAGAAGCTAACCTTTAATAACATTTGCTGGGTTAGTTGAATTACATAGTTTCTGTTTATAGAGAGATGAGGACTGAAATCCTGGGGCATTTTCCCATCCTGTAACAGCTGCACAGCAGGGCATGACACAACCTACGGCCCAAGCAAGATGAGGAATATGGGTGAGAACCTGTATGAGGCTGAGATCCACAAGAGACTACGCCTCAGTCAAAGGACCAGCCAGCAACAACTCCATCTCTAAAGGGAGAAGGCAAGCGCATTCATTCTCATGGCCTTGGCTCTGAGTGGAGGGAGAAATACTCTCCCTCTGTCCTTCATATTCTTTGACCCCCACCTCCACCCCCATGTGGGTTTAGAGTTCAGAGTCACATTGCTGCAGAATTTGAAAGATCCAAGAAGGTAAATTACTTTGAAAAGGCTGGGGGTTAGTAGCACCTTCAGGATTGAAGAACCTTTTCGGAAAGAATGCATCTTTAATTCAAGCCCAACTGGTGCTTGAGTGCATGTGCATGCGCATGCGCATGCGTGTGGGTGGGTGTGCGTGCGCTTGCGGGGTGGATACTCTTCAGCAGCTCCTGTGATGGTTAGTAGGAAGTGTGACAATAAGCGTCTGTAAGTATTTTCAGTTCTTTTGCTATGTGCCAAGCTCTCTGAATAGATGGAGGGCGGGAGAGAAGCCAGTTTGCTGGTACCTCTTAAATAGGTAAAGAGGGTGACAGTGGCTTGTGTAATAAGCAACATGACATTAAGCCGGAGAGGCTAGTATAAGTGAACAATTAAGGACATGGTCAAAGAGTACAGATCTGATGAGGAAGCTAAAATTTAGAGTTGTAGAGGTTGTTTTTGTTTGTCTTTTCTGCCATCTACTTTCACATAATAAACCAGTGACAATGTGAGAAAGAAATATACACTGCTGCTCTCTTTGAAACTGTGTGTAGCTCAGACAGTCTTTAAACATTTGGGGACTTTTATGTTGTTCAAGATGGCCAAATGTGGCCCAGAAATGTCATTGTAAGCACACGGTGTACTGTCCCAAGCACCACCGAGGAAGGCAGGGTCTTTTCCTCATCTCCTATCCCGCCCCCCAGTAACAGCAACAACATCAGCAAAATAACCAGGTTTACTTCTAGTGGGGGAGGGAAAAGTGTCGTAGAATAAACTGTCAGCGTTTCAGTAGAAAGGAAATCAGAGAAAGTTTCACTTCATTATGAACAGGGCCAACTTTGGCTTCAGGAAACAGTGGCCGTACTTCATTTTCTAAAATGGAATCTTTGAAGTGGCTTCTAGCAAAATTGGTGTAGGATGTGGAGTGGATATCATTTGCTTTAATTTAGGGGCTGAGAAACAGTTTACAGTGCTCCGAACTGGATGTTAATATTAAGGCAAGCAGACATGTAATAAGTGGAAACTTGGCCACATGGTAGGAAACAAAAGGGAGTTATAAATAGAACATCCCCCCTCAGTCTGGGAAGCACATACTAACCGTGGAGTAGAGGGCAGTAGAGGAATTTTTCTTGGGTTTACAGGTTATTGTATTTTTAATGGCATATACATCTGACATAGGACAGTATGTAGATGGTTATATGGAAGTCAAGAATTCATAATTACCAGATTCGTTTAATATAGAGAAATAATTCTAAGACTATAGATTTCAGTGTGGGATACTTATTACCACTCAAAACCAAAAGAGCAAGAAAATGAGGTGAGAAGAGGCACAACATGTTAGGAATAGAAGAAACGTATTTGGCCCAGTATACTTGTCTTAATTTTTTATGTAAAAATCGAGCTTCACCCTTCTATGTACTCCCAGTACCTAAGTAAAACACCAGTGAACAAATTGTTTAATCTACTTACCCACCAAACAGTTACACAGTGTCTATTTTTCTCCACTCAAAGGATTCTAGTCTCCACAATTGGGTAAAAACAGAATAAAACAAATAAGATCCCACAGCACAAATAACAGTACCATGTTAATGGGTAGCACAGAGACAAAGCAGAATAGGAATTATTTAACTTTCTCCTGAAGAGACATTATGCACCTTTTTTCTCAAACTTAATAGACTTTTAGCTTAATGTGCTTTTTCCTCATAATGTTTTCCGTATGTTTATTATTGTCCTTTAGAAAAACAAAATTATTTACCTAATTTTTACATCAAAGCATTTATTTTTTATATGGACTTTTACTAAATAAACCATGTTCATATGCTACCAAACAGCACATACTTTTTCATGTAATTTGTTTTTGGGGTTCTTAAGGAGAATTTTTTAAAAATTCCAATCGCAAGCCAAATGAGTCTGTGTCTCAGCTCTGTATCCGTAGAATGCACACTGCTGAGACAAGATGCAGAGTTTCTAGAACAATTGCTTTTGTAATAATGTATTTGGTTAATGCTATTATTACAGTCATTTCAGTTAAAGACTAATAACAGTAATAATAACTTGATTACACAATGTATTTGTGATAAGAGCCAGGAGACATAAAGCATTATGTTACAAACGTGTTTTGTAAATACAAGGTGGGGCAAAAGTAGATTTACAGTTGGTTGTACAGAAAATAATACAATAATTAATAATCATACAAGAATAAACTGTGTCTCCTGTAGCCAAAACTGTAAACCTACTTTTGTTCCACCCTGTATATGCACTAGGTATTATTCATTTCTTTTACCTCTTTTAAAATACTAAATAGAAATTGATGAATAAGAAATAAAAGAAAAAAATTGAAAATTAGAAGCCCTTAAAAAAGTTTTTTTTACAAAAAGCATCATTGCCCTGGCCAGTGTTGTTCAGTGGTTAGATTGTAAGCCTTTGCACAGAAAGGTCTCAGGTTCAATTCCTGGTCAAGGGCAAGTAGTTGGGTTGCAGATTTGATCTCTGGCCCTGTGGGGGCTCCTGTGGGAGGCAGCCAATCAATGTGTCTCTCTCACATTGATGTTTCACTCTCTCTTTCTCTCTCACTTCCTCCCTCCCTGCCTTCCAATCTCCCTAAAATTAATAGAAAAAAATATCCTCTGGTGAGAATTAATTTAAAAAGTGCATCATTAATTCATTTAAGAAATATTTATTTTATCAGACAGTTCTGGATGTTCGATTTAGATGTTAAAGTTTTTAGATGATACTGCTGTGCGGAAACTGTTTAACTCTCTA